TCGTTTAATGTGGGTGTCATGCATATTAAGCATCGTAAATAATGGAAACAGCTGGATTATATGACCTAGACAGTTAAAAGTTAAGGGTAATTATATTGGTGTCTGAATGTGTACTAGATTCAATCAAGTTATATTACTGGTTCATTTTGTATAATATTAGTTGCAATGCGTACCTTAATATACATGGCCACGTAACTTTTAGAATTCCTTTCTGTGTGTAATATAATAGTTGACAAGTCCAGTGTCGGATTAATGCGTTTGTCATAAACTCATAATGCATGTGCCTTTACCACTTTTATCTTATTCTCGTCCTAATTTACAGAACATGATTAGGGTCTTTGACAGCTTAATCTTTGCTTTTTTTTAAGGTATACATTGTGAGAGCAGGCAAAATAACAGAAAACGAAGGGGCAATCGGCCTTCAGACTTATGATTTTGAGAACATTAAGCCAATTAGTGCCGGTAAGATAGCTCACGTGTCATTATTTTTTTTTTTTCTTACCTTTGTAATTCTATATTTGCAACATTGTTCAAGAAACATAGTGTAAAAACTTTTGACCAGCGAAAATGGAAGACCAAATGGAAGAAAATGCATGTACTGGAAAAACAGCAAGGCAGCTGTACCTAAACTCTCTTGAAGTAGTAGATAGCCATCACGAAACAAAAAAAGGCAAGATTAACACCCGGCAGTGAAATTCACATGCATCACTCTGCCAATAGCATCGATCAATTTAAAGATATAAGTGGTTTTGAGGATTTCAAGATCCATTTGGGTGGCCTAATTCTCGACTCGGAGATACCTAAAAATATCAGAGCAAAATATTACAACCTCTGCTGCAGTCAAAGAATGTTTCTGCTCGACCACCTTATAAATGGCCTCAGCACAAAGTTAGCCGTTGTAATGATTTCCGAAACTACCAATATATCCGAAGCTGTGAGATCTGCTGACGTGTCGACTTCTCTTCATCATTTGGAATGCTGGGAAAAGACTTTCAAAGCTTTCGAGGATTTAGGAATGGCCGTCGGATTTATACGCAATAGGCTGCATAAATTACTGGAAATTTCGCGCGAAGCACAATCGAATAACGAGTCGAAGATGATAGTGAGAGCGCAAGCTGATCATGTGAGCGGTAATCTTGAGACTACTTCTTTGAATGTCGAAGCACTTATAGGAAGTCTAGAGGCCGAAATCGAGACTCTCAGATGGAAAAACGAGAAGCTCGGATTTGAATTCCGTGAGCTTGCTCGAGCTCCATGGTAGAAAAGAATGTTACATTATGCAAAGGTGGATACAGATAACCTTGATTTACGAGCATAACTCGCGTTTTTTAGTGGTGGTTTATTATTATTATTATTATTTTTACTTTTTTGGTTAGAAGTTTTATATAAAACAGCTAATGTACAGAAGAACCGTAGCGTAAATTTTTTTTTAATATATATAACTTGTCGAAAATAAATGTATTGATGTTATATGTTTATTTATATGTAATGTAGGAAATTGAACTTCAGAGGTTGTCTTGAGTTGGCCTGAATCATGTTGTATTTGAAAAGGCCAAGTGTGTGGTGTTATTAAATTGGGGAAAATTACTGTTTTCATCCCTCAAATTTGCACCAATTTTATATTTGGTCCCCCATGTCCAAAAAAACACATTTGGTATCTCATGTTTCAATAATTTATCAATTTTTGTAATTTCTGTCAATTTACCGTTAGTCCGTCAGTTAAGGAGGTGATGCACATGCTTGATTCCATGAGTACTAACGCTAAAATGACTGAAATGACGAAAATGTTGAATTTTTGAAACATGAGGGACCAAATGTGAAGTCGGTGCAAATTTAAGGGATGAAAACTATATATTTTCGCTAATTAAATTGTGAATTGTTTTCTACAAAAAGATATATCTTTATTTTTAATTTTTACTATGGGTCTTTCTAGGGTGAGACCACCTGTGTTCTAAATTTATATGAGATATATATTAATCACCATTAATTTTCTAAGATTAAATCCGAACCCTAGAAAATAACATGGCCTATGTTCTAAAAAATCAAATACTTTACCAAATTATCATTCGATTATTTTTTATTAAATTAATATAAAATTGATTAACATTGAATTGTCTAATTTACCCCCTACTATATTTTAATTAAATAATTAATTTAAATTCATTGTGAGTTTTATTTGATAAATAATCGAAAAAAATGCATTAATTGGGGATAGAACTTGGGACATCGTAATACATTCATCGCTCTAACCATTCAAACACATTAACTTATTATAATATATTTAACCATAATTGTATAAATACTGTTAATTAAAATATTAATTACAACATTCATTATTATTAAATGATATTAAATAAATTATTAGCAAATTTAATATAATAAAGTTTGAAAAAATATAAAGAATTGCAGTTCAATACGCCAAACATCTATCATTAATTATGTAATATTAGAATTATTAATAAACTTCACCATTTAAAAATGTAAAGAATGCTCAATTAAATATAAAAAATGCATAACTTAATTCAAACTCACTTATGTTATTAAATCGATAGTGTGACAAATCCAAATAAAAAATAAAATAATATGTTTTAGAAGAAGAAAAAATTATAACTCATTCTAATTAGTAGTTTTCTCACTTTAAAATAAAATTATATAATACAAATACTATATAGTGATTTTTCTTTTAATATTTAATTTAATCAAATAGTAAGATTTGAATCGATTAAGTTCAAATCCTTTCAATTAGTAAACATTATTCAAATATTTGAATCGGTTGCTTAATTATTGACATAACGTGTTACATAATTGATTTAACTATTTATAAGTAATGTCTAATGTCTTTGTATTTCAATTTTTTCATAAAAAATAATAAATTTAATTCCTAACACATGTACGAACCTAATCGTATATTATAATATTTTATCAAAGTGTAATATTTGAACCAATTAAGCTCAAGTTATTTCAATTTGTCCACATTATTCAAATATTTGAATCGATTAATTAGCGCGCTCAACAATTGACAAGAACGTCTTAATCAAATTAACTATTATTAATTAAAGTGTAATACATTTTTAATTCAATTTTATCATAAAAAAATAATTCCTAATATACATAAGAATCAAATCATATGATTAATTAAAGCGTATGATTGAATCACGCTACGCGCAAATCCTTCTAATTTGTATATATTATTCATATTTGTGAATCGATTAAGTTCAACCACTGGCTATTACGTATTAGTCGAGTAACTATTTA